TACGGGGAATTGATGGCTTCCCCCGCCGCCGCGGCCGCCGCCACCTTGTACTTGGAGTACAGCGGGTTGACAAAGTAGGAGCTCATCGGGGAGGGGGCAGCGGCGGGCGGGGGCACGGGCGCTGCTCACGCCGCCGCCGCCGCCGCCGCCGGTGCCTCTACGCCGCGCTCATGCCGCCGCCGCCGCCGTCGTCGCTGGCCCGTGCGCTCCCCGCTCCTGCTCTCCGTGTATGTGGTGACCAGGACTGGATTATAATCGCTCCCAAAATGACCTGCCTCACTGCTTTTACTATTTCCTATTAGGCACACAGCAGCCCGCGCACGCACACACACACACACACACACACACACTCATGAGCTCAGGGGGGACTTTTGGCTTCAGTTTACATGTGCCGCTCCTCGGGCAAAAAAAAAACCTCGGCCCAGCCCTGCCCGGATCCACCCCGGCCGCGGCACCCCCGCTCCCCCCTCCGGTGTGCGCTCGCTAGGAGCCGCTGAAACCCCCGCCGCGCAGGGGCGAGGCGGCCGCGCAGATCCCGCGCGATAACCGCGGGCGCGCTGCCCGGGGCGACGCCGCCCGGCTCAGCCAGGCTGTACTGCCCGGAGCGCGGCCTGCACCGCCGACCGGCAAGGGCAGAACCCCTCAGAGGGAGCCGATGCCCATCGAAGGGTCTCCGGGGTGTACGCGAAAACGGTGGGGTGCCCGTGGGGCGGCAGCGTGCAACCCTTGCCAACGGGCCCTCCGGGTCATTTCCTTACAGGCGAGCAGATCGCTGGGAAATGAGATGCACATTTACCCTTGACGCCTTGCACGCATGGCTGAGGCTCCAGGTTAATTGATACTTAATGGAAATCATGCCTATGAATATACTTTCCATCATTTCACCCTTGGTGGACGTCATTACCGAGGCAAAGAGAGGGAGGAGGAGGAAAAAAAAAAAAAAAAAGTGTGGGTGAACGGTTAGCACCACTCGGGAACTCGGTCCGAAATAAGTGAGCCCTGTTCTCCGGGAGGAAGGAAGAAAAGCGCTGCCCAACAGGCTCGCCGCTACCCCCGGCCACCCCCGCTGGCCCCCTTTCCCCAAGAAGCGTCGAATCCAGTCCTCTCTTTCCCGCTTCGTCCTGCAGTGGGAATCAAATTTTTGGAGACACATTCAGGAGCTGGAGTCCGCCCTATTTTGGAGAGAGACGAAAAATGTAGGTGAAATATAATACAGGCCCAGCCAGAGCCACGTGTGACCGTCTGATGCGAACTGACAAAAAAATCCTTGTGGTTACATAAAAGGCATCTCAGGCTCCTTCCCCATCACACCCCGTTCTTCCACTACCCCCACGCCTCCATGCCGATTAACTCGCTTTGTCTCCCTGACCAGCCCGGCCGCCCCGCATGCGAGCACTCCGACGGGCCCTGTGCCCGCAGTGACACCCTCGCCTGGGCGGGGGCCCCGCGGCCCGGGGCGCACGCCTTTCGGAACTCGCGGAGCCTTAGGGACCCCCGTGCGGCCCGAGGAAAGGCGGGGGAGGCGGCAAAGGCGGGAAAGGCCCGGGCACACACACACGGACAGACAGCCGCACAAATCCGTCGCCAGAGACCAGCAGGAAGGCAGGAGGCCGGGCCTGGCAGAGAGCGAGCGGCAGCACAGAGACACTGCCTCACCCTGCGGAGGGGCACAGAGGGGCAGTGGCTGCTTCCCGCATCCGCGCCAGACACCCCCGCCCCTCCTCCTGTGCATCCCGGCGGGCGTTAATTCCGCTGGCCAGCGCCGTCCGCGGTGGGGCTGCGGTGCCGTGCCCGGTAGGGCTGCGGGGCCGTGCCCGGTAGGGCTGCGGGGCCGTGCCCGGTAGGGCTGCGGGGCCGTGCCCGGCGGGGCTGCGGGGCCGCGGCGGAAGCGCGGTGTCCCGGCCGCGGGCGCGCAGAGCGGGGCGCGGCGGCCGCGCAAGGGTGGAGCGCGGGCGCCCTCTGGCGGCGCGGCGCGGCCGCGGCAGGCAGCCCCGCGGCTCCGCGCTGCCCGCGGCCCCGGGCCCCGGCGCCGGCCGCTGGCTCGCCAGAACCGCCAGCTGCGGAACTCCGGCGGGGCCG